CTATTTAGGATTAACGAATGTAGTTTCAGGTTACAATTTGAAGTCATACTAGAAAGAAAAAAGGTTAATTTAAGTTTATTTCGATTTTTTTTTTGGTAGTTACCAGGTCAGTCAAATTGACTGATCCTGTTTGAGACAGGGTAGAGAAAATAACAGATAAACTATAAAGATTAACTGAAAAAAAAACGTTTAAAATGCATTTAGCAGGTTTTAGGGATTACACAAAGGAAATTTGAGCTTTTTGAGATAACGAAAAGTATTTTTAATTTTAACATGAAAATTACTTTGCACACCGTCTATTCAAAACAAATACTCAATATACTCATGGACAAATCTTTACTTAATTTTCTAAAAAATACTTCACTAAGAAATATGACTTTTGTAGGTGAACTACTTGTAATATTGATTGAAAGACTGCCAAATTTCAAGAAGATATACCCAATATATTGAGAGTTATAAGTATTAAATTTATAAAGACTTTAAACAACTACAAAAGGTCATGTGACTTGGTCAAATTGACCGACCCCATGTTGAGAGAGCTAAGTTACAGAGGCAAATAGTTAAAATTTTGTGAACTTGTACATCAAACTGAAGTTTAAGAATATCTCTAAGGTTTATTTTGAAATATAGAATTTAAAACTTTGATGATATAAAACTTTGAACTATAATGCAAATTTTAATGCTAATTTCATTTGTATACATTAATAGTAAGATTGCTTAATTAAATTTTGAATGTAACAAAGTAAAATCTCATGACATGCAGTACAGCGGAGCCCATAATTATAAGGTTAATCAAAATGTCATATACATTAGTGTTTGAAAGTTGTAAAAATACATTAAAGAATAAAGCTTAAGATGAGGTATGTCATGATGATGCAAAAACACACACAACAAGTTGCAATTACAATTCTAAAACATTGTGTAGAATTAATATAGGTACTCTATAGATATCTATAGATCTACAGAACAAATAGACACCAGAGAACAAGAGACAAGTATTCCCTTTTCTATTATATATTGTTTTACAATGAATAAAATTGAGAAATGAGGGGAGATAAAGAAAACCACTTACCTGAAATGAACACATAAGAGTTTCATCGACACTCATCATAGCACCTGCATTGTCAAACTCTCCACAGTAGTTAGGAGCTGAGAAAAGAGTCACCAATTGACGCTTTGCAAAGAATTCATAGCCATCTTCAACAACCTATCATGAACAAAAAAAGATGAAGTTACAACAATTGTATAACAAGTTTAAAATTATACATATAAAATAGGTCTCTCTCATTATAAAGTTAATCCTCAGACAGAGTGGTGAAAATCTATCGACTATACAGGATAATTAATCATCCTGAACTGACACACACAAGTAGGATTTTAATGGGGGCCTTTTTAAAATTTTGCACAAATACTAGGATTCCATTTATCTACCTTACTTCTAACAGTGTTTCAGAAATGTATTTATGACAAACAGGTCACTCTAAAGTTATAATTTTCCTATACTAAAAATGTATTTCCAATAAGTACTTCCCTTCATTCACAAGATTAGTTATTCTCGTCCAGTAATGCCCTCTATATGCTAATTTTTTTCTTTACTCACGCCACAAGTCATATGCTTCACCCCATTGGAATTCAAAGATTCCAACGTGTCTCTCATGTAAATCATCATGCATTACTTCACCAATAGGAGCGTGACACAGGTGACTCCTTCTATATGCCTCTACCAAACTATCACTTCGACATTTGGCAGAAGACGTTAGCAATGGAAAAAAGTGGGGAGGAAGAGTGGGATGTGTGAGATGAGGGAAGTATCTATCGGAAATACATTTTCAGTATAGGAAGTTAAAACTTCCGATATGGTACTTCCCTCCGCTTACAAGATTAGCTAGAATCCCACATTGATTAGATGGTGGGACCAGTGCAAGGGAATGATAGAAAAACCTTCTGAAAGCATCCAAAGGATACTCCTTGGAATGAGAGAGTCAGTTCAGAAGATCTGATGAGGGAAACTGCACCACTTCTGAACCAGGTATACTCTTCGCCTATCCGAGAAATGTGTAGCAGATAAGGGTGGAAAAAAGAGGAGAACATCCAAGTGGAAGAGAACTGTGGTAGAATAGTGATCCTAACCATGTAAATATATACGTAACTCAATCCCACAAAGTATAAAAGTGTGTAAACAATGAATGTGCCCCTAGGTGTAGAGTGGCTATGGTGCAACAGACCATACTTGGTAAGTCAACTACATCCAAAACCCATGCTGCTGGAAACTGACATCCACACTGGGGTAGGATGAGGATCATACCATTTTTAATCTCCTGGTGAATAAGCGTGTATAAATACCCCACCAGGTCACTGTACCTGAGGCCTGAGACATAGCACTAGTCACAGGTGTGACCCATGAAGTGGTAACATGAACTTCAGGATTCATAATGAGGAAGAGTTAACCAAAATTCAAAATTATAAACAACAACACGATAATAAACTGGGAGTAAAGTGAAGTTAAGAAACAGTCTGAATAGAAACTAGAAGAGAAAATAAATAAAGACCACTTTGTGAGTATACTTAAGATGAACGTGAAACTTTAAATAAAGAAAAAGGAACAAGTCTGAGCACAAGTGCTGCCAAACGAGAAGCGATAGTTAAGTAGAGCCATATAGAGGGAATCATGTGTCAAGTATGTGACACTTTTATTGGAGAAGTGATGCATGATGATTTACATGAGAGACATCTTGGAATCAATCGATTTCCAATAGAGGGGAGCAGAAGGCTTGTGGCACATGTAAGAAAAAAATTGCAAATAGAGGGCAGCACTAGACGAGAATAGCTAACCTTGCGAGAGGAGGGAATTCTTAATCAAGTAATTCTGTCAGACTTAATACTCTAATTTACCACATTAATGACTCTGATATCTAATCTTAAAATATATATTGTATATTTTGTAGAATTAACATCCTAAAAAATAAACTCTAAACAAAAAAACTATGTTTTTAATAAACCAATCCTTTACAATAGATAAATTCATTTAAAAACATCATTAGCATGTTTATTCAATACTATAAGAAAAAGAGGTTTTAATCATAAAAACTTTTCTTTTAATCTTTATTTTTTCTTTCAGGCATTAAACTATAGTTGTAAACAGAAATTTTTTTGTTAAAGCATTTGCTGAAGACCAACCTGATGAGCTCGACATATTAAATCCAGATCATGTTTGTGAAGAAACTTGGCTACTATATCAGCACCAAATGTATATGAAACTCCACGATCATTTTCTCCCCATCCCATTACATCTTTATCTGGATCAGACCACAGTAAATCACACAACAGCCCCTGATCTGGCACATCTGTAGGTCGCATTATACGGCGGATTTGTTCCATTGACTGCAGATCCGGGCTTAAACCTAGCAAGCAAATTCCTTTACACACCAAATCCTTATTACATAACTTTCACTAACTGTTGCAAATGTCATGAACCAACAAGATATTTCTAAGACTCACCCTTACCAAATATTACCCAGTGCCAAACATTTCAAGCAGCTAATAAAGGTCAGACTTATAAAATCATGATGATGCACAACTTTAGCATTACCCAGTACAAGGAACCATTATTACTATTTACAAATTACATCATGACAAGTAATGGAAGGAAATTCCTCTATTTTATCTGTGGCAGCAGATTTATATGTAGTCAGCAAATGCAGAGTTACCAATAATAATACATTTTTTTTAACAAAACAGATTTCCTACACATAATTACAACACATAACTTTTATATAATAACAATGTAAAAGGAGTTATTCAAATATTCTAATTTAAATAGGCTTTATCATAAATAAAACTAAAATTACAATTTTTTGGATGTAATAAAATATGAAATATATTTAACATGTTAGATAATTCATTAACACAAATGCTAGTTCAGTAATGCTGATAGCCTACAAACATACAGATATAACCTTAAAAAGAAGGATAATCAAATGACAGCTATAAGGTTGGGATCTATTGTCAAAGTTATAACTTGCTATAAAACTTTTATAGGTAATTAAGTGTTAATAAAATAGATCCAGCTACAAAACTTTGAGTTTGCTGAAAATAAACAAGAATCAGTAAGTATTTCATTGAAAATTATTTACTTAGTCCTCTCACCACGAGTTGGTCAAAGTGTGCATGGTATGACATTTTACAGTTACATTTAAAATCTAATCAAACTCCTTAATTATCAATTTATACAAATAAATTTGCCATCAAAATGTTGTTAATAAATTAAGTTTTAATATTATATATTAAATAATAGAAAGGCAAAGTTTTAATCTATTGAATGACATATAATGCTACAATGTTTTCTGAACAATGTTTGCTTTGTGCAAGTGAATAAAAATTATTTACTGTACCAATATCATCATTATAAAAAGTAAGCTTAGATTTCATCAGCAACTAACAGTAAAAAACAAGAGGCTAAAGTACTATATACGTGTTTCTTGTTTTTCATGTATATTCTTTATTTATTGTTATAAAAGTAACGAAATGGAAAAATAAAAAATAAATAAGGTTAGATTAGGCAGGATAAAGAGAAAAAAAAAAGATTCATGATGAATGCTTGCTTGCCGTACATGAGTTACATCATTTAATAAAGTAACATGAGCTATGCATCCACCAAGTGATTTACAACTTGTGTGGCAGGATTATTAGCTATATACACAGTTCAAAGGGCAAAAAAAAAACAATAAAATTAAGTATAAACAGGTGTAAACTGTTACAAACTTTAAGCTACTCAGGATAAACAATTATACTTTGCTGTTACAACCTGCAGTCATTCTAGAAAAAAAAGAAGAGTAATTTAGATTTATTATTTTTTTTATGGTAGTTACAATGTTGGCCGAGTCAATCAAGTCTGTATATACTTAGGGTTGAGAAAATAACAGAAAAAAGTATAGTTCTACTGAAAAAATAATGTTTGATGTATATATATATATTGGTATACTTTGGTGACAGATTTT